AAATTATGTGTTAATTTTAAAGTTAACTAACCTTTTAATGACTTTGTGTTGGAAAGCATTTGAATATTTGGTTGCAGCATGGAGGTATGCAGTTTCAGTTGATCCTCTAGATGGGTATCAGTGATTTGTGACCTTAAGGGTGTCTTGATTTGGGTTAGGTAGAAGAATATATATTTCTATCAGTAAGTGGTTGAAAGCTAGAAAGCATTTTTTGGGCATGTTGCCGAAGGTTTGAGTATTCTGCATTTTTCCATATTTCAATGGATCTTTCTTAGTATCAAACAAAGACTTTAAAATGTCATCTACTGAGAGCTCAATCAATTCCATCTGTAGTTCTTTAGGTGCCTTGGTGATATCAACTAGGTGAGGCTGAAATGCTAATTTGAGTCATGACTCTCAAAGTCAGTGAACCTTTCCTTGTGTTCTTCAATTACTAGGTCTATAACAGCTGCATATTCTTCAAATGATTCACATATATCATCCTGCTCATCAGTGACCTTTGCTAACTGGGGATAATGTTCATCCAAAATTTCTTTTTGAAGAAGTGTTTTGAAAAAAGATAGCTTTTCTGGAAATGCTTGGATTTTTTGCCACGTATCATATATAGACTTAGTTTTACCTTGAAAAGAAATACTCAAGTCATTTTAATTTCACTTGATATCACACAGAAATGCTGCATTCCTATAGAAATCTTCTTTGAGTAATTCACATTGCTGATTCTCTTCTTCATAAAATTTAACTATCTGTTCTTGTAGAGAGAAAATTTTGGCTACCACCTGTCCCTGCAATAGCCAATGCACTTTAGAATGATACAGCAAATCCACACTGAATACCTCATCATTCAGCTTTAGCATGTTACGAAACTGATGTTGCATTTGCACAAATATAGTTAACAATACTTATAACTTGTTACAAAGTGTCACTTAAAATAGTAGCTTTAGCACAGAGATTTTGCTGATGCAAGATACAGAAAGCTACAGAAAAGATTTTGCTGATACAAGATACAGAAAAGAAATGAGAACATCTGGATCTGTTAATGCTTTTTTTATCTGTGCAATAAACTCTTCCTGTTTTCCTGTCATGGAAGGTGCACTGTCTATACATAAACACACTAAATTTACCAAATTCAGTCCAGCTTTATGACATTTATCTTGAAAGTTGTTGAAGATATCTATTCCCTGGGTTCTGTTTGCAAGAGTGCCCAAAGCAAGTAACTCGTCCTAGCAAAGAAAATCTTCTGTTATGACCCGAATGAAGTATAAACCCTGTGCCAAGTCAATAGTATCAGTTGATTTATCCAAAGTGATTGAATAATATATATTTTCCTTTTGAAGTATTGCATGAAATTGTTCTGTTAAGTTGAAGGCTAATTCATGCTGTCAATCAGTTATGGTTCTCCTTCAAAGAGGCAGTTGTTTGTAGTTTGAAACATTGTCAGGGTCTAAGCATCCTACAACTTGGACAATGCATTCTTTCACAATTTCTACATCACTGAATGGCTTGCCTTTTTTCCTGAGTATATAAACTCCTTTATAAGTTGCTTCAGTGGCATTATTTCCAGGTCTTATTGCTGCTTGAAAGAATCGTCTTTGCTTTTGATTTTGATCTTTAATTTCTGCGATACAACCTTTCATGCCTCTCCCTACAATTTAAAATATTTGTGGTCCTTATGAGTGTTATAATGCTGATGAGCATTGAATTTCTTTAATGTTGCTGTTGCAGTACCACAAAGCAAGCAAATCATCTTGTCTTTAGCAGAAACAAGATAATATTGCAATTTCCAGTTCTCATTAAAACATCTGTTTTCTTCCTTCGGC